AACAGGTGCTTCAGCTGTGTCCTCACCTCCCCCACATTTCTCCCATGCAGCCCAAAGAAACACACACATACACATGCACAGCATGCACACATAGGCAAACACTCTCCTACACGTTCACCTAAGTTGTTTTGGAAGCTTGAACACTGAGGTGAAACTTGCATGATTTTCTTGGCACCATATGCTGAAGGACTCTGACTAACTGACCTGTGACTCTCTGTAGTGCTGTACACAGGGTTACACACACACGCACACACACACACGCACACACACACACACACAAACAGTACTAAATCACTTTAAAAGGGTGACCCAGAGGTTTCTTGACAGGAGCATAGGAGCCTGCAGTCCTGCTGCAGTACATGATTTGATGTGAATCCAAAATGCTCCAAGGCCTTTCTCACCTTCTTGTAATAGACTACCTTTTTATCCTGCCTTCACTTTTTTGAACTTCATATTATCCTGCAGTTTAGCTACTACCACAGAGGTAAATTCAACAGCAAATCTACTTTTGACAAAGACATACAAACAAAAGTATTGTGCTCACTGTTTGAACCTGCCCCTCAGTCAGTCAGTCAAAAGATTTCAAAGGGGAGTGAACGGCTGCTATAGGAGAGCTTATGGGGGAGATGAGGCCATGAAGGGGGAGGGGTAAAGTTTGACAGTCGCTCACAGTTGGCACTGAGGACCCGCGATGCTTTGGGGTAGACAGGGAGAGGGGCAGAGAGAGTGAGGCTGAGGCAGAGAGGGTGAGTTTCTATCCTAAGGGGATGAAGGAACCACAGATCCTTTTTCTCCTTGCATTTCACCTTTAGGAACAAAAACCAGAGAAACTGAGAAGTGTGGAAAAAGGCCGAAAGAGAAAAAAGATATGAAGAACATGAAAGAAAGAAATCGTCATTAAACACACTACGAAGTTCGCTCTTTGCCTCACTTCCTCAATCTCGCTTCTCTCTCAATTTAATCTTAAATCCACTCCAATTTCCCCTGAGGGACTCAATTCTCTCTCTTTCCTGTAAGTATTCTCTTTCATTCTCTTACTTTTATTCTGTGTTTTCAGTGCCTTCTTGTACCTCACTGCCCTTCTGTGAAATAACGCCTGCACCAGACAAGCAAGCTCAATCAATTGCTCGTTATTTGATTGCATTAATGAGGGACTGGCCTGCTTTTGGACTCATTGTAAATAAGAGAGGTGTGTGTATTTAAGGGATTGGGAATAGGAATTGCACCATGGTGATTTAATATGCATAACATCAGCTATTCTGAAGCGTGTGTAAGGTTCTCTGTGTGTTTGTCTGTTCCCTTCAAACAGGTTTCCTCTGGGTGTTCTATGGCTGGCCACTTCAAATTAATATTGTTAATAGGTTGTGTGCGTGCACTAATGCCGCCTATGTAGAGTCCCAGCTTGCTCCCCTTCTTCCTAGTGCGTGACACATTTGTGGTCCCGCTGTCGCAGTGCAAATGTGTGTGGTGCGATGCTGTAGGTGTTGCCGTCCGTCACAATCAATGACCACCAGCTCTGACGTCTGAGATTCTACTGGGCCTTCTGTCTCCGTCAGTCATGCGAGCCCAGCTCTCCTCTTCCTCCAGCTCCTTGCCCTGTCTCTCTAAAAGCCTCCTTGTCTGTTTAATACTCTGTGTCCTTACTTCTGTCTCTGCGGGCGGGCCTCTGTGTGATTATGACAGGCTGTCTACAGGGAGGCATGCTGTTACCAGAGCAGCTCACCACAGTGTTCAGTCAGCCTGTGGGTCTGAGAGGCCGTACATCTTTATTTCCCTCAATCTATCTCCACTGTGTTTTGTGTGCCTCTATCAATATCGGTTTGTGTCTATCAGTGGATTACCAAGCATCTGTTATTCTTACTCCCCTTCTTCCTCTACTCCCCTCCTTCCCAACAGTGAGAGACAGAAGAAGAGGGGTTCATTCCTCCTGGTAGAGCATCACCAGGAATTTCCTCATTCTCTCTGATCCACTCCCCCAACAACCTCCCTTCCACCATGACGCTGCTGGCTTCTGAGAGGTCACTGCTTATCCGGAACAAGTTCCGCTCAGGTGAGGATGCTGGAGTCTCAACTCGTGCCTGTTAACCAGGGGGAAAGATTTAGTTTCCTGCAACAATGGCTTTACATCTCAGGCATAATTACCAACATTAGCATCAGTAGGTAGAGGTGAAGTGTTTGTGGAGGTTATTGGCTAGTCAGTCATGTTGTCCTGTCATCAATAGCTATCATGGTGAATGGATTTAGTGAAAGACAAAGATGTCTTGAGCACCCGAGTCCGAGGTTAAAGATCGCAGCATGTTACTATTTGACACTTTAACCACAACATGTGCTGGTTTGTTGCTCTGCATGGCAAAACAGCCCAGAAAAGTCCTTTTTATTTTAATCTTTCAAATCTTTACAACACAAAATATTTATGTCTTAATGTCTTGGAAAAATATCCTGAGTTATTATTCTTTAAGAATTTAACTTTGAAAAACTCTGATCATTTGCTTTTCCATGAACGTGTGGTTTGGTCAGTTTTGATGATGACAGAATCAAACCACCCATTGTCATCAGACTGATTCCAGCATTGCTAAATCCTGATTGGTGCACGAAAATATGTGACATAAACTTTTTGTGCCCCCTGGTCATTTCAATTCCAGTGAGAAAAACAAAAACATGGTCATGTACAGAAAAAAAAAATTCACCAGAGACATATGACTCATATAGGTCCTAGGGTTATTACTACAACTTATATGATTCCAATGGACAACTGTGATGTGTAATAACTGTAATAGCTGTGATGATTAACAGATTATTTTGCAAAGTTACACAGCATTTAAAAAGACAGTGCAGATCTACAACTAAAGAGTATGACTGTAGCTGGTGGGATTGATGAGAACCTCTCATAGGTTATAAATAGCCTGGAAGGGCTATTTAGATGTTTTGAAAAAGCTGAAATTGATTCTACATGTTATAACCAAGTTGTATTAGATCTAATAATAGATTACTCTACTGAATACAAGTTTCAGGACACAACCATTTTACTAATAAATGATAACATTAAACAGTCTTCCCATAACCACATTCTACAAATTTTCCTACAAGTGGCAGCGACTGCTCTTGTGTTTGCAGGCAGCTGTTGTAAGTGGCTGGGAAAACGTAAAGGCGAGGAAATGACACTGAGATGGTCCCAAAGGTGTTCAAACACCTGCTGGAAAATATGCTTCTACAGGGCAGCTGCTCTGTTTGTAATCATATACATAGCAGATTTCAAAATATATATTAGTGTGGCGGTATATCAAGCTGATGTTTGTCCTTTGGTTATCTTCAGCCAGTGTTTGACATGATATAGTTTGTCTAGTAGTTAACAACTACTCTGTAACAAAGTACTAGTTTTTCATATGTTGGTACATGCTTGACATATTGTGAGTGTTAATAACACTTTTTTATTGTTATATTAAAACAGTGATTCACAAACCTTTTGGCTTGCAACCCCTTAAAACCCCTCAATGGAGCTTTTATGTGTCTATGAGTTGTGAGAAGTTCAACCAAAATATCCTGCTAAGATTGTTTAATTTCATTTATTTTTAGAGGAGTGAATAGGTAAGAGTAGCTTCTATTTTACAGGAAAAATGCAATAAACAAACAAAAAAAAGGTAAAGATGTAAAAATGTTTTTTGTCCTGTTAATTCTTTAGCAACACTTCTCCGATGTTTTTGGGACTGACCCACAGGTTGGGAGCCACCGAGTTATGTATTGAATGTCAAGTAATGCCATTTAAAGGGGAGTTAATTGTTTACAAATTAGACAGTCATGAGCAGATCCAGGGGGTGGCCAGGGGTGGCACTGCCCCCACCAAGTGACATTCTAGGACCTCATAATTTACAAGTTAAGTACTGTGTGCCACCCCGCTCTGAGTCTGTGCCCCAGCTTGGCCACCCCTGTAGACAATTAAGTGCAAACTAACTGATACTCCACTGTGACAAGCACTGCCTTTCTTGCTTGCTAAAAGAGCACAGTGTGTACAGTAAGGACTTCCATCCAGACATTAAACTTTTATTTTGAATTGGAAGTTTGAAAGCAGGAAGAGCAGCAGCACAAATGAGAATGACGTGAGGAGCAGGGGATGTAGGAGAGGCTTGTTGAAAAAGTGGACAGCTGAAGGGGGGATGGGACCAACAGAAATAGACATACTGAGAGATAAATAGTTACTGCACTCAACCCTCCCCCTTCCCCCAATGCAGTACTCCCCTCCCCTTCCCTTGTCAGGTCTCAAAACTCACCAAAATATATCATACTCTGCTTTTGTGTTCGTACTGAATGCTAATACATCTGTGCACATGTGGTGTGTAGATGTGTGCAGGCATCTAAGAAGATATATAATCTACAAGCACCGCAAAGTCACAGGATAATATAGGTTGCAAGGCCATATCATTTAACAGTGATTGTGTTGTCTTTTTTTGCTCATCTAACCCTAACCTTTCTATGTCAGCCTGATTTATTCACCCAGGTAACAACTTACTGTCAGTGTAACTTGTAATATTTAATCACTTTTCAAAGCAGACAGTTCAATCTCTGTTCTTGTCTTTCAGTCCTGCAGCTGAGAATTCAGAACCGAAGACAGAGTGAAATCAATGCAGACCCTGGTTAGTCTATGTGCCATTAACACTGTGATCGATCCATCTATACTATGGCTGCACGTTGGATTTCATTTTAATAGTCGTCCTGTCTCCTCTTTTCCCTGACAGATGCCTATTGATTAGTAAATGTCTTTGCAGGTTTTATATTTATCAGTTTTTACTTTCAATTGATTTCACTTTTAGAAAATGAAAATTGTGTTTATATGATTGAAAACCTCAGACTGTGAGCATTGAGTCAGGTCATAACATACTTACCTAGTTGAATAATTCTAACCTTAGCCATTGTTAAAATTAGAATAACTTTTATGCTGAGAATATGATGTGAAATTTTCATTATGAATCAGTGGAAACAGTAAACTGAAATTTACAGGACATGATGTGGAAATTGCATAATGCATTCACTTTGCCGACAGTTAGTGTACCTTGCTTCATGTCCTTCCGATCTGTCTGAGACTGAAGCAGGTTGCACATTCTGATAGTTGCTAACACAAATGAATGCCTGAAATGCTCCATGTTGTAACATGCAGGGAGAAGTTGTAGGTTGAAAGGTGCTTTGTGTTCACCTGAGGTGCTATTAGGCTAACATTTTTTAAAACCATGTCATATAGGAGAAGATCTTCCCCTATGCTGCATTGTTGTTTCATCTTACAACTGGGCCTTGTTTGTTTCCACAGGGTTGAAATCTACCAGCCTCCCTCAAAAACCAGAGAAAGACCAGAGTAAAACTCGGGTCAGTAGCTTCCTGTTCTTCCCAGCATGACATTTTCACACTATAGACCAAATACACTGAGTTAGATGCAGTAAGAGGCAACCTGCCAAGTAAAGACATTTTCCTCTCCAGATGTCACAGTTTTTCATTTGTATTGTTGATTATATTTGATAGAACAGAATTAGAAGATATTTTTGCTTACTGGTGTTAATTACACATAGTACATTAGTATAGGTCTGTGTTTTTCCACCACTAAATAGGTTATGTGGTCTCCTCCCCACTTAAAAGGAACTCAATTTTTTTCAGCAGAGAATCTTGTAGCACATGATCCAAGCACTATTTTAAAGACCTTACAATAATTCAGGGGGGAATATTAAGTGGGTTTTACTTTAGTATACTTTGCTGCAGTGAATGCAGTGAACTGCAGTGTAGTCTCCCCAGTTGTTGGTCTGACCCGCTGTTTCCCGACGCAGTGTCCAACTGATGATGGTGCCACTCAGAAGTCGCCCCCTAGTGGTCCGAACACTGAAACTGCACAAGGTGATGCCCTGCCTACAGTAATGCTATTATCTTATTCTGCTTTACAATGTATGCTCCCAGCAACTGCACTGTAACACATTTCCCCACCTGCCTTTTTCTTTCTGTCTCTATTTGCTCATGTCTGTGCTGTTCTCCGCTCCTCGCTGTACAGCAATTGTGTGAGGAAATGAAGTGTGTAAATCTGGCAATGGGCTTGGTGTTTCAACAGCTGTCAGTTAAATAGAAGTGTGACCTCGTTGCAGGCTGTAACTCTGCATTTTCAGCAGCTTGGAAACATATCAGTGATTGACAGCACATGATAAACCTACCCATCCAGTGATCATGGCGATCTTTTTCTGCCATTGCTGACATCTCTCTCTCTAATCACTCTTTGTCTCTACTCTGCCTGTCCACACCGTCTAACCTTCTTGTTAATTTGAAAAGACAGTCATTTTAATATATGGCATTTCTGACTTCCTAAACAAACATTTTCTGCCTGTTTGCATGTTCATATCCAAGGAAACACCTCTCTTTATGGGCAGGAGTGTTTGCTATTAATTCAAGCCCCTGCTAGTTTGAATTGGGACTGATCGCCTGTGGCAACACTGTTGTGCATGCTCACATCACATATGTTCTGAAATCCTGTTGCTTTTCTTTCTTCAATCTCCTCTTCTCTCCCTCTGCTGATCTCCCATCTGTCCCATTCTCTCCACTTATCTGCACCATTTCTCCCTCTTTCTCCCACCCACAGAGAGAACAGTGTGTGGCGCCCAGAGGCAGAAGAAGGCTTGCCAGGCGGAGGACCTCACTGAGAGGATCCAGCATCCGCCTGGACCTGTTGAGCAAAAGCATGAACACACGCTGCCCCTGGAGAACCGTGAGTCAACATGCATCAGGATGCACTGGCACACACAGACAGACTCACACACATTTTTTATTTCCCACTTGGCTCCTCTTTTGACCTTACCTCCTTTCACTCTTCATTTCCTCAGGTCCTGCCCCTTTCCCTCTGTCTGCTGATGTCTTCAAAGATGACATCTCCACCTGCCCCTCCTCCTCGCCCATTGAGCATCATGGCATTCACCAGTTACCGGTCTTTAATTCTTTGCCAGAGCTCTCAGGTGACCAATTACTGAGTGACTTCTCAGCTGTGGCCCTGCCCCTTAACCACAGCCCCAGTCATCCTCAGGTGAGAAAACAACAGTGAGATTAAGACTCATGTGTCACAGTGTAAAATTTGATCAATTTCTCCCAAAACCCTCTGATAAACACATTAAGATAAATATTAACAGACAGATGAGTTTATAAATAGGCTTGTACATCAACTCTGATAATCTTATATTCTGCCTTCAGTCTGGTTTGGTGTTGCCCCCGGCAACCGAGGGCATCAGACAACCTATGAGTGTAACACCGGCTGAATCAAATTCCATGGCAACAACTGGGAGACCAAATGGGATGTATCTGACCTCTCAGCCCACACCCCTGCTGCCAAAGGTAATGTGGGGTTAGAACATGGTTGTCCTGTCAAAAAACCCACTGTTTTTTTGTCTGGATTTCACACTTTGGCTCTTTTAAATTGTATAAGTGTCTTTTTTGTCCACTTACCCATCCATTCATCCATTATCTATACCACTTATTCTGTAGAGGGTTGCTAGGGGACTGCAGCCAGCACTAGCTGTCACTAAACGAGAAGTGGGGAACACCTTGGACAGGTCACTAGTCTATCACAGGGCTGACACACAGAGACAAACAACCATTCTTACTTACAGTCAACTATAGCTAACCTACATGTTTTCTGTGGGAGGAAGCCAGAGTACCTGGAGAAAACCTACACAGGCACAGAGAGGCCTTGGCTGGCTGCTAGGTTCAATCCCACATCCTTGTGCTAACCCCTGCACCACCCTGCTGCCTTGGTCTTTTTTGTTTTAAACATTTTTTGACTCCTCAAAATGAAATTATAATGTGAAGAAAGATAGAAAAAAAATGTAATAACGTGACCTTTTTGTTCAGAAATACAACATGTAGATAGTGCATTAATCAACCTTAGACCTAAACATAGTTATAACTCATTTGAAAGGCTCACTCTGAGTCTCTCACCCAAACTGGAACACACAAAAAAATCAGTTCTCTCTGTTACTGTATATTGCCCATCTGCCCCTTATTCAGTTTTTAACCAAGTTTTCAGAGTTTCTATCTGATTTAGCACTCAGTACAGATAAAATAATTATAGTGGGTGATTTTAATATTCATATAGATGTTGACAGTGACAGCCTCAGTACTGCATTTATTTCATTATTAGACTCAATTGGCTTTACTCAAACTGTAAATAAACCCACTAACTGTTTTAATCACACACTCAGTCTTGTTCTGACATATGCCATTGAAATTGAACATCTAGCCTAATAGTATTTCCTCCAAACCCCCTTTTGTCTGCTCATTTTTAATAACATTTGAACTTACAATAATGGATTATACAGCATGTGAGAAATATTTCATTACAGTAGATGTCTATCTGACAATGCTGAAATAATTCCATTATTATTTACTTTAATGCCATGTGCCAACACAATGAAGGACAACCCCTTTAACTTTATTCCGACGTGTTGATAATCTTGTTGATAGCACTGCAGCCTCCCTGCATATGACATTTTATACTGTTGCCCCTCTGAAAAAGAAGGTAGAGAATTGGAGGATGCTATCCCCGTGGTACAGCTCCCAGCTGTAAAGCAGGCAATGCGAATGTATAGTGGCATTCCAGTCAGAAGATTTTTTCATAGCCTGTTTAGATAGTTTAATAACATATTTATAAAAAAAGCCCTTCGCAGTGTCAGAACCACATATTATTCATCACTGATAGAAGAAAATAAGAACAACCCCAGATTTCTTTTCATCACTGTAGCCAGGCTGACAAAGAGCCACAGTGCTGTTGAGCTTAATGTTCACTTAGATTTCAGCAGAAATGACATCATGACCTTCTTTACATTAAAAATCATAACTATTAGAGAAAAAATGTATCAGATCCTCCCTACAGCTCTCACAGCTGTATCATCAAGTACTACAGCTTTAGAAACATCTGTAAGACCTAATTTATACTTGATACCATAGATCTCTCTGAGCTGACCTCAACAATTGCTTCATCTAAATCATCATCATGTCTCTAAGACCCCATCCCGACCAGGCTGCTCAAAGATGTTTCACCCCTAATCAGCATGTCTATATTAGATCTGATTAACCTTTCTCTATTAACAGGTTATGTTCCACAGGCTTTTAAAGTTGCTGTAATTAAACTTATACTCAAAAAGCCTACTCTTGACCCAGGTGTTCTAGCTAATTATAGACCAATATCCAATCTCCTTTTTCTTTCTAAAATTCTTGAAAAAGCTGTTGCAAAGCAGTTATGTGACCATTTGCACAAGAATGATTTGTTTGAGAATTTTCAGTCAGGATTTAGAGTCCATCATAATACAGAAACCGCATTGGTGAAAGTCACCAATGATCTCTTCCTAGACTCAGACAAAGGACTTGTCTCCATACTTATCCTCATAGACCTCAGTGCTGCTTTTGACACCACTGATCACATCTTATTACAGAGACTGGAACATGTCAGTAGGATTTAAAGGCACCGCACTAAATTAGGTCAGTTCTATTTTTTTTATTTATTTATTTTTTTTTTATCAGTTACACTTTGTTTAGTTCCTATTAATGATGAATCTTTCATGCCCATTAACGTTGGTGTTCCACAGGGCTCTGTGTTAGGTCCAGTTCTCTTCATGTTATACATGCTTCCCTGAGGCAATATTTTTAGGAAACATGGTATAAATTTTCATTGCTATGCAGATGATACTCAGTTATATTTATCTATGAAGCCAAATGAATCAGATTAGCTGATCAAACATCAAACATTCCTTAAAGACAAAGGCCTGGATGACCTGTAACTTCTTACTTCTAAATTTTGACAAAACTGAAGTCATTGTACTTGGACCTGAAAACCTTAAAAATTTGCTGTCTAATCATACATTTTCTCTAGATGACATAGCTCTGACCTCCAGTACTACTGTGAGGAACCTTGGAGTCATCTTTGATCAGCTACTGTAACTCTTTACTATCAGGATGTCCCAATAATTCCCTAAAAAGCCTCCCGTTAATCCAAAATGCTGCAGCCAGAGTACTGACAGGAACTAGCAAGAGAGATCATATCTCTCCCATATTAGCTTCTCTCCACTGGCTCCCTGTAAAATTCAGAATAGAATTTAAAATCCTTCTCCTAACATACAAAGCCCTTAATGACAAGGCTCCATTGTATCTTAAAGACCTCGTAGAGCCTTATCATCCTAACAGAGCACTTGGAGCAGGTGGTTCCTAGCCCTGTAAAGCCTGACACATCAAAAAATAGCCAGAACATTCTAATTTTTTGGAACTGAGATGTTCATTAAACCTTTTAACAAAATCCAAAAGAAAATTTAAGATTCAAGATTTTTATTTGCCATTTATGCATAGACAGAGATATAGGTATAAATGTGCCATATTATTTTGTTTATTTATTTATTGTATTACATTTGATACATGGGGCATTTTTGGCAATTTTGTTTTGCTCAGAAACTCGAATAGCAAATATGATACAAATCATTTTATAGGGCTAGTGTCCACAGACGTAGAATGGGAGGCAGACCCTTTAACTATCAAAATCCTCTCCTTTGGAACCAACTCCCAGTGTCAGTTCAGGAGGCGGACACCCTCTCTACGTTTAAGATGAAATTTAAGGCTTTCCTTTTTGATATAGCTTATAATTAGAGCTGGCTCGGGTGACCTTGAGCCTTCCCTTAGTTATGGTGCTATAGGCCTAAGCTGCTGGGGGCCCCACGATGCTCTGGGCTCCTTACTATAACCTTACTATGTAAACTGCCCTGAAATGATTGTTGTTTTGAATTTAATTGAACTGAATTGAATTGAGTGAGCTTGCTGTGGTATATTCAAACTAGGCATACAACATAAGAGATAAAAGAGCACTACAGAGGTCTTTAACCTAACAGGATGGTCACTACTCTGTTATTTCAGACACAATGCTCTGCTGTAAGCTTCTCTGCATTCATTACTGTCAATTTGCAGTTCTGGGGAAGCTCAGAATTTGCCCTGTAGGTTAACATATTCACACACAACCAGCATGATTGTATGTCAGAATGAGCATATGCTGTCATCTGGAGATTTGTGAAGCATTTGTACATTTCATGTAAGAATTTAACCTTGACATGGAGCATATACTGTCAAATAATGTGAAACGACTCAACATTTTTACATATTTTATATGCCATTCATGAAATTACTCACTAGAACCACAGTATGGTTACAATTTCAGGGGATGTGTGTGTCCCTACAGACAGCTCGGCCTCCTAGCCCCACTTGCTCCTCATCCCTCTCCCCGCCTCTCAACTTTAACAACCTCCCCCACTCACGGAAACCGAGGGACACAAAACCCAAAATGAGGAAACTCAAGTATCACCAATACATTCCTCCAGACCAGAGAGGGCTGTCTGGGACTGGAGGTACCAATCTGTTACTTCACATTTCTTCATCGCTTCATTTTTTAAAAATGTATCAGTTCAGTGCATGAACTTGATGCTAGTTGCTTAAATTAAGCCCCACAAAATTATATTTCCAGGGGGAGGCACCAAACAGAAGTGCCCTACCCCTACGCAGTCTTTAGACCCAGCCTATTCCCATCTCCTGAATCAGCAACAGGTCTTCCTCCAGCTGGAAATCCTCCAAAACCAGCAGCAACAGCAACAACTACAGCAACAGCTCACTGTTGTATCCAGGTATGCAAACAGTTTACCGTTATGTGTCAGGATATTCAAATGGAGTCAATTATGCAACAAGACATTAGTTCTCAGATGGTTTGGATGAGTTAATACTACTGTCATTCCTTCAGCAGAGATCATAGTGATCCTGTGAAGTCCACTGGAGCCGTGCCCATGAACCCCCAACCTCTTCCCGCCACAGCAAACCACACCTCTATGCATACAAGCCCAGGATCCAAACCTGAGCTTCTCCCTGCAAATCTTGTTGATCTAACAGTAAGACAAGCATGAAAGCACTGAAAGGCAGAAAGTGCCTAAGAATTACAACTACAGTATGTACAATCCATGGTGAGTACTAACTTATAATTGTCCTTTGCCCTTCCACCTTCATCTCTTCACCTCCCTCAGGTGTCAGAGTTGCGGCAGCAGCTGCGTAAACGTGGTCTCCCTGTCTCCGGCACCAAGCCTGCACTATTGCAGCGTCTCCGCCCCTTCCAGCTTCCCCATGCTTGCCTCACTCCTACTCCCCTCTCCCAGCTGGGTACCAGCATGGAGCTCCTTACTTCCTGCCCCCCACTGCCAGCCAGTCAGAGCCCCAGCTCAAGCTCAAGCTCTGGACCAGATTCACCTAGCAGCAGCCCAAACAGGGGAATTCCTAATGGGATTCTCAGTGACACTCCAAATGGCATTCTGAAAGCCAGTGGTTTAACAAATGCTGCATCAGTGGGTTTGGCAGGTGAACAGTGTGGTATTTCCAGGGCTATTTTCCTGGCACCTACCAGCAGTGCCTCAGGAACTCCCAGTCCCACTCTACCCCTGTCGTCCTCCTCACCCCTGCAGAGTGGGACTCTGTGGACAATTAAGAAGGAGCAGCAGGAGCTGAGTGTGGAGCTAGAAATGAGGGAGAGGATACGAAGCAGGCCCAGGGACCGCTCTGATAACACTGGCACAGAGGTGAGGACAGACAGGCTTGGATTTACTAAAATAAATGTTTTCCAGAGCACAATAACTAATACCTTTTCACCATTCTTCAGTCTTGTGGAGGATCCCTTCATCCTTTCCTGCAACAGGGTCCAGGATACACTAAAGGGAAGCCAGAAACAAATGCACAAACAGAGGTGTTGTTTACACAGGTAAACACACAAATCCATACAAAGATATCTTGGATAACTGCATGGATATGACTTTTCAAGAGTACACAACACAGCCTTCAATTTAGTAAACTGCTCAAACATGTAAGCATGCTATCTTCACCACCTGTCAGCTAAATTACCTCTGCTTTCTAATCAGGTGTTTAGCTGCCAACAGTGTGATGTGATCGGCCAGGACTACGAGCTGCCAGTGCAGATTACAGCAAGTCCTGTTCAGACTGTGCACAGTGTTCGCAGCTTGGAAGAAGAACTGCAGGAGGCTATCCAGAAAGCACAGGTTAGAGTCTATACATGATAAGGAAGAAATCACAAAGGTTCTTTGGTACAATGGCAACTAAATATCTTTCTTGCCTTCTGGTCACAGATGGACCCTCGGCAGTCCATAGATGACATTCTAGATGAGCCTATTACTTGTGTTGGTGAGTATCTAGAACTAATAGACTTAAATGGCACTCATATTTATTTCAGGGTCTAATAATTAAACTACCTCTCTTCTAGGTTCTGTCACTGTGTCTGATCATAAATCCATAGCCCACTCTGCCCCCAGCCGTGCACCTTCTCCTCAGGCTATTCAGTCCCAGTCCTCCCAGCAGTACAACAGGGATGACAACTTCCTGCCCTCACCCCTTTGCTCCTCTCTCTTGTTGGAGCTTCCTCCATCTCCTGCTGTAATAAACCCCAGCCAGGTTGTCCCAGCGCCTCCTCCACCCCTCATCTGTATCTCCCCTCTGCCATCCACTGGAAAGTCACGGAAACGACGGGCTCCAACACCATTTGATGCTGCAGACTGGCTTGAAACGC